TGGTGTACACTGTATCGTTCCCCCCTGATTCTGGGGGGAAACCAGCCTGCAGATAAGATTCCTTTTTTTTTTTTTAAACGTCTTTATTGGAGTATAACTGCTTTACAGTGGTGTGTTAGTTTCTGCTTTATAACAAAGTGAATCAACTGTACATATATCTCCATATCTCTTCCCTCGTGCATCTCCCTCCCTCCCACCCTCCCTATTCCACCCCTCTAGGTGGTCACAAAGCACCGAGCTGATCTCCCTGTGCTGTGCGGCTGCTTCCCACTAGCTGTTGGTTTTACATTTGGTAGTGTATATATGTCCATGCCACTCTCTCACTTTGTGCCAGCTTACCCTTCCCCCTCCCCGTGTCCTCAAGTCCATTCTCTAGTAGGTCTGTGTCTTTTTTCCTGTGCTGCCGCTAGGTTCATCATGACCTTTTTTTTTTTTTTTAGATTCCATATATATGTGTTAGCATACGGTATTTGTCTTTCTCTTTCTGACTTACTTCACTCTGTATGACAGACTCTAGGTCTATCCACCTCATTACAAATAACTCAATTTCGTTTCTTTTTATGGCTGAGTAATATTCCATTGTATATATGTGCCACATCTTCTTTATCCATTCATCTGTCGATGGACACTTAGGTTGCTTCCATGTCCTGGTTACTGTAAATAGTGCTTCAGTGAACATTGTGGTACATGACTCTTTTTGAATTATGGTTTGCTCAGGGTATATGCCCAGTAGTGGGATTGATGGGTCATATGGTAGTGCTATTTTTAGTTTTTTAAGGAACCTCCATATTGTTCTCCAAGGTGGCTGTATCAATTTACGTTCCCACCAACAGTGCAAGAGGGTTCCCTTTTCTCCACACCCTCTCTAGCATTTATTGTTTGTAGGTTTCTTGATGATGGCCATTCTGACTGGTATGAGGTGATAGCTCATTGTAGTTTTGATTTGCATTTCTCTAATGATTAATGATGTTGAGCATTCTTTCATATGTTTGTTGGCATTCTGTATATCTTCAGAAAAATGTCTATTTAGGTCATCTGCCCATTTTTGGATTGGGCTGTTTGTTTTTTTGATATTGAGCTGTGTGAGCTGCTTGTGAATTTTGGACATTAATCCATTTTGGAGATTAATCCTTTGTCAGTTGCTTCATTTGCAAATATTTTCTCCCATTCTGAGGGTTGTCTTTTGGTCTTGTTTATGGTTTCCTTTGCTGTGCAAAAGCTTTGAAGTTTCATTAGGTCCCATTTGTTTATTTTTGTTTTTATTTCCATTTCTCTAGGAGATGGGTCAAAAAGGATCTTGCTGTGATTTATGTCATAGAGTGTTCTGCCTATGTTTTCCTCTAAGAGTTTGATAGTTTCTGGCCTTACATTTAGGTCTTTAATCCATTTTGAGTTTATTTTTGTGTATGGTGTTAGGGAGTGTTCTAATTTCATTCTTTTACATGTAGCTGTCCAGTTTTCCCAGCACCACTTATTGAAGAGGCTGTATTTTCTCCACTGTATATTCTTGCCTCCTTTATCAAAGATAAGGTGTCCATATGTGTGTGGGTTTATCTCTGGGCTTTCTCTCCTGTTCCATTGATCTATATTTCTGTTTTTGTGCCAGTACCATACTGTCTTGATTACTGTAGCTTTGTAGTATAGTCTGAAGTCAGGGAGCCTGATTCCTCCAGCTCTGTTTTTCTTTCTTCAAGATTGCATTGGCTATTTGGGGTCTTTTGTGTTTCCATACAAATTGTGAAATTCTTTGTTCTAGTTCTGTGAAAAATGCCATTGGTAGTTTGATAGGGATTGCATTGAATCTGTAGATTGCTTTGGATAGTATAGTCATTTTCACAATGTTGATTCTTCCAATCCAAGAACATGGTATATCTCTCCATCTGTTTCCATCATCTTTAATTTCTTTCCTCAGTGTCTTATAGTTTTCTGCATACAGGTTTTTTTTCTCCTTAGGTAGGCTTATTCCTAGGTATTTTGTTCTTTTTGTTGCAATGGTAAATGGGAGTGTTCCTTAATTTCACTTTCAGATTTTTGTTGTTAGTGTAGAGGAATGCAAGACATCTCTGTGCATTAGTTTTGTATCCTGCTACTTTACCACATTCATTGATTAGCTCTAGTAGTTTTCTGGTAGCATCTTTAGGATTCTCTACGTATAGTATCGTGTTATCTGCAAACAGTGACAGCTTTACTTCTTCTTTTCTGATTTGGATTACTTTTATTTCTTTTTCTTCTCTGATTGCTGTGGCTAAAACTTCCAAAACAATGTTGAATAATAGTGGTGAGAGTGGGCAGCCTTGTCTTATTCCTGATCTTAGTGGAAATGGTTTCAGTTTTTCACCATTGAGGATGATGTTGACCATGGGTTTGTGATATATGGCCTTTATTATGTTGAGGTAGGTTCCCTCTATGCCTACTTTCTGGAGGGTTTTTATCATAAGTGGATGTTGAATTTTGTCGAAAGATTTTTCTGCCTCTCTTGAGAGGGTCATATGGTTTTTATTCTTCAATTTGTTAATATGGTGTATCACATTGATTGATTTGCGTATACTGAAGCATCTTTGTATTCCTGGGATAAACCCCACTTGATCATGGTGTGTGATCCTTTTAATGTGCTGTTTCCTAGTATTTTGTTGAGGATTTTTGCATCTATGTTCATGAGTGATACTGGCCTGTAGTTTTCTTTCTTTGTGACTTTTTAAAAAATTTATTTATTTTTTATTTTTGGCTGCATTGGGTCTTTGTTCCTGTGTGCAGGCTTTTTCTAGTTGCAGCGAGTGGGGGCTACTCTTCGCTGCAGTGCGCGGGCTTCTCATTTTGGTGGCTTCTCTTGCTGTGAGGCACGGGATCTAGGCGCCCAGGCTTCAGTAGTTGTGGTGCACAGGCTTAGGTTCTCCGCGGCATGTGGGATCTTCCCGGACCAGAACTTGAACCCATGTCCCCTGCACTGGCAGGCGGATTCTTAACCACTGTGCCACCAGGGAAGCCCCTCTTTGTGACATCTTTGTCTGGTTTTTGTATCAGGGTGATGGTGGCCTCGTAGAATGAGTTTGGGAGTGTTCCTCCCTCTGCTATATTTTGGAAGAGTTTAAGAAGAATAGGTGTTAGCTCTTCTCTAAATGTTTGATAGAATTTGCCTATGAGGCCATCTGGTCCTGGGCTTTTGTTTGTTGGAAGACTTTTAATTACAGTTTCAATTTCCATGCTTGTGATTGGTCTGTTTATATTTTCTAGTTCTTCCTGGTTCAGTCTTGGAAGGTTGTGCTTTTCTAAGAATTTGCCCATTTCTTCCAGGTTGTCCATTTTATTGGCATATAGTTGCTTGTAATAATCTCTCCTGATCCTTTGTATTTTTGTAGTGTTAGTTGTTACTTCTCCTTTTTCATTTCTGATTCTATTGATTTGAGTCTTCTTCCTTTTTTTCTTGGTGAGTCTGGCTAATGGTTTATCAATTTTGTTTATCTTCTCGAAGAATCAGCATTTAGTTTTATTGATCTTTGCTATTGTTTCCTTCAAGATTCCTTTTTAACACACCATTCCCACCACCACCTATTGTTCCTTCTGCAGACTCCATATCCAGTTTCTGGGATTTATTGTTTTTTTTGCAGCCACAGCCTTCTTCACCTTTCTTTTTGGGACCCCCCCCCAACCCCCCAGCCCAAGCTGTAGGGAACATGATTGGGCTTTTGAAGCAATCTCATTAGCGGCTGAGTTAGCTTGGGTTTCAGATTGGAGATGGGAGAGAGGACCCCTCATTTCTCCCCTTTTGATGGGCTATAGCACTCAGCGTAGCTCTCTCTCTCCAAAGAAATCCTTCTCACAGATTCTTCCTCATTCATTCATATTCTCTCTCCCCCACCCCCACCCCTTTCTTATGGAGGTGAAATTCACATAGCAAAAAATTAACCATTTTAAAGTGAAAAATTCAGTGGCATTTACTATAATACTCTCTTAACCTCAACTCAGCCCTTTTTTTAACCTCTTCCTGGGTGAGGGTTGCAAAGTTAACATTTTGGTGTATTTGATATTTCTTGGGTAAATTCTGCACATGGTCTGGCCCCTCACTTTTGGAGTTTCACAGCTGTTGTATCTTCTGCCTCAGTGGAAACTTCTAATTTAATGTCTTTTGTACATGGCTGTGTCCTTAGACCTTATAGAGCCCTATGAGGTGGGTGTCATTGTCCCTATTTTATAGGTTAGGAAACTGAGAGGAAAAACGAGTTGCCAGTGTTACACTGGCAAGGAGGGGCAAGGCCAGGATTTGAGCCTGCTCAGATCTGTCCAGCAGCAGTGGCAGTGTTGTATCCACATTAACATGAAATGGTGGCCAACAGCCTCCCTCCACAGCCTGCTGTGCCTTCTGTCCCCACCTGGTCTCTGTCCTCTGAGCCATCCTAGCAGCCCTGGGTTTCCTCATGAGCAGCAGTGAAAGGTCGTGTCAAGGCAAAGCAAGAATATCCATGTCCCATCTCTGCCAGTGAGCAGGCAGGAGGGCTGCCCCAGCAGTCTGGACCTCCAGGCTGGCCTGAGCTGGGGCCTTTCCAGGTGCCGGATGCAGCAAGGAAGTCCTCTGCCAGCACAACTGACTGCTGGATTCTGGACACTAGAACTGCTCAGGCCCAGAGAGTGGCATAGTTTACTGGGTATATGTATAAGGAGACTGGAGGCCAAGAGCCTGTGCTCCTTGAGGAAGGCAGAAGGGAAGGTGCAGGCCAACCCATCAGTCCTGAGGCACTCCTTGAGGCACTTGAGGTGTCTCCAAGCTGTGTCACCTGCCTTCTGGTCTCAGGCACCTGGGAGCCTCAAGATGGGCTTCAAGTGCCTGCAGAATGAAGGTCCCTGACACAGCATTCATCTGCCTGGGACTCTGAAGGCGGCTGTGGACGAAAGCCAGAGGTTTGCGTGGACAGCTCTGGGTGTCTGGGACTGGTGACTCCGGTGCTGTTCTTAAGGAGTGGCCCTTGAACTTCCCACTAATTCTCCTTCTTGCTCTCTCCTTTCAGGGAACCCAAAAGGTGCGATGCTCACCCATGGGAACGTGGTGGCTGATTTCTCAGGCTTTCTGAAAGTGACAGAGGTGAATAAAGTAGACTCACCAATGCAGGTGTCTCTCAAGGACACCCTCAAGCCTCAGAGGTTTTTTGGGTTTTCTTTTTTTTCCCTGATACAATCTGGGCTGCCTTTTACAGGCAGGAGTTTCTGTTCTCATTAGAGCAACCTCACTTTCACAGATACTTTTAACCCCAAACACTGAAATGATCCATACCTTGTAAATATTCAGTTGATTTCTGAGAGTGCTCAGATCCCAGAAAGAAAAACGTGGAAACCTATTTTTCATTTTTAACTTCAAATATTAAGATACCTGTGGTTTTATGTATACCTTTGTTTAAAAGTAATCCTTAATAACTTGTTTTTCCAAGTAGGTCAGGGTTTAATTCAGTCATTTTGTGTTTAAGGACTACTAGAGTCTGAGAAACAATGGCAACTGCTAATTTATAAAGCTGTACTTAAAAAGGGTAAATCTAAAGTCAAAAAAGCTTGACAACTTGGCCTGACAAAAACATGTTAGCACTTTTTAACCGGCTAAGAAAGAAGGACCTTTTTCCACAAGTGGTGAGTATCTGAATGTCCTACACTTTCCTAAAGGAGAAGGGAATGTACCTTTTCCTATATAAATTAAGCTTTTTTTCTCTACTATGGAGAAAATCGCTATCCACATTTATGCCAGATGGCATTATGGAGCATATGCCCATTTGTTATATATTTTGGTAGAAAACTGTGAGACACTGTTGGTAGCTGAGCCCAGACCAGGAGCCATGAGCAAGGTTCCCTGGGCTTGTCCAAACTTGTCCAAAAGCCAGCCCAGGAGTCTGAAGACCTCTGTAAAAGGGTGGAGGGCAGGGAACTCAGCCAAGGAGAGCTCATCCCTGAATGGGGCCCCCTGGCCAGGGCAGCCCCTGTCCCTGAGGTCAGACCCATCCTGGAGAGTGGGGTCCCTCTTGGCCATCCACTTTAAGGCCATGTTCCCAAGCTGTAGCTTATGAGGCCTGGTTCCACCCACCACACCTCTGTCCGGGGCACGTACCCCAGCCCCAGTAGGCATAGACCTAGGGTTCTCTTGGCCCCTTTCTCTCAAAGGAGGACCAGAAAGTGCCAACAGGCTGAGACCCTCTGAATCGCTGTCTGGGTGGCCCAGGAAAGCTGGTGAAGTGGGGCCTGAGGCAGATCCTGCAGCTGTGGGGAGGGAGAGGCATGCCGGTCTGGCGCGAAGACTGAACGAGGTGCAGGCCCTCCCAGAGGAGACTTCCCTGCGGAGCTCGACTCTGCTGGTTTATGTGTGCTTCAGTTGGCTCTTTGCTTCTGCAGATAACCTAGACCCACTGGCGCTTCTACCTAACACTCCGCTTCCTACACTGCCCTGTCTCTCTGTCTCTCTCTCTCTTTTCTTTCTGCGCCTGCCATCTTTCTCTCTTTCCTCTCTCACTTTTCTCTCGCTGTCATCTCACCTCTCTCTCTGTCCCCCCTTCCCCACTGCCCTTCCCCTCTTCATGTCTGCCCCTCCAGGTCATTTTCTCTTTATTGTTTTATGACTCTTGTCGTCTTCCTGTCAGTGTTTCTTTCCTTTCTGTCTCCCATGCCCGGCACCTGCAGAAAGTGATCTTTCCGAGACAGGACGATGTGCTCATCTCCTTCCTGCCTCTGGCTCACATGTTTGAGAGAGTCATCCAGGTAAGACGCCCGCCTGACTGACCGGGCCTTGCCTGGGCTCCTTCTGTTTTCTTACAGAGTCAGTGGGCTCCCACTTGTGCGGATGTGCACATTTCCTATTTGCCTTTAGCACACATGTTTGAGCGAATGGTGCAGGTAAGGCCCTGGCTTCAGGGAGGCACAGTCTGAGCCCAGAACCCAGAACCCTAGCAGGGTGTCACACTTGTCACTGGCAGCTTGAAGTAGAACTAAACTGGCCTGTCCTCAGAAGGTGCCACAGGGGTCAGAGTGGTCAGAGGACCTTGGACCCCCTGATCTGTCCCTCCTGTGAGCACTGCTCCAGGGAGGACCCAGGCCTGCTTGTCTTACTGTGGACACACCTTGGCTGAGAAAGGCCCCAGCTGCTCAGAGAGCATTGCAGCTCTGCAGAAGTGCTTTACCATTCAAGCTCTGTACAGTATGGCTCCATTTATGGCCCAAACACCTATATTCTGTAACTTTCATCACTCACTAAACTCCTAAAAAAGAAAACAAGACAGTGAAGTTGAAAGGGGAGTCAAACTATCATGGCCCCTCAGGCTGTGGATGGGACTGGTGTTATGGTTGGACCTGGACAGGCCTTGTGGGGACACAGAATGGAGGAGTCCTCATGAGGTTGTGGGGACAAAGAATTATCTGTGTGTGTCACTTAAGGGACCAGCCTGTGCATAAACTATCTCCTAAGCCTCTCCCGTTTTGCCTTGGGGGAGGTCTGGTATACTAGGGCGTGCTTTCAAGCTTTCCAGACCTGGATTCGCATGCCAGCAATTACCGTGAACTAGTTTTGGGACTCTAGGCAAATCCCTTTCTTTACCTCTGTGACCTTTGCATTCCTCATCTGTAAAACAGAGATTAGAAATTCTGTTTCCAGTATAGAATAGCTCTGAGCATGACAGAAAGGAGCCCCTGGCATACTCTTAGTCCCATTAGCAACCAGCCAGGCTCTGCCTTGGCCTCCCACCGCCAACATTAGCAGCACCTCCAGTACTTGTGGGCACTGCATACCCTTCCAGAGCTGCTGAGGTATCCCTGGGGAAGACCACAGGTGCTCTGAGACCTGGAGCGGACACACCGATAGGGTGCTGTACAGCTCAGAGACTGAGTCCTCAGGGAGGCCCCTGTCCAGGCTTTGGGAGTAAGCTTGAAGGGGCAGGCACCAGTGAGACTGGCTGCTCTGGCATCTCCCAAAGGCTCAGGATTCCACCCTGTCTCCTGCTTCTTCTCTCCATGTCTGAGTGGGACTTGGTGGGAAGGGGTGTGTGTGTGGGGGGGGTGTCACCTCTAATGGCTTCCTTCAGTGTCCCAAGGCAGCAGCCAGAGCTGGGTGAGGGGTGTCACTGGCACCCCCCATGTGGGGCAGAGCTTTGGACAGCTCTGGATTACAGCCAGGAGTGACTGCCCTGAGGGACTCCTCCCTTCCTGTCCACTTCTTCCAGTCTGTTGTCTACTGCCACGGAGGGCGCGTCGGCTTCTTCCAGGGAGACATCCGCCTCCTCTCAGATGACATGAAGGCTCTGTGTCCCACCATCTTCCCTGTGGTCCCACGACTACTGAACCGCATGTATGACAAGGTGAGCCCCGTGGGGAGTCTCTGGCCAGGCTGAGCAGCTGCATATCTGCTTGTTTGGACAGAGAGAGGCTGGAGCCCCAGGCAGGCTTTCTACACCACCAGCCCCAGGTCCTGGAAGTTGCCTCCTCTCTTGTATTCCCTGACTCTCACCCCTCCTTCTCCTGTTTTCTTCCTATTCTCCAAAACCCTGCTTGGGAGATTTTGTGGGGAGGGCTTCTTTCCCAACAACGTGCCTGGGCCTTGGTAGCATTAACCTTTAGTTGGATGTCACACGTTCAGTGACCTCCTGCAGGGGCAGAAATAGAGTGTGGCTTCTCTGCTGGCCAATCTAGGCCTTCTTCCTGGGGGTGTGTCTAGAGGTGGGACCTGCAGTCTTTACAGCTGTTTCCAACTTCTGTTCCTCAGATCTTCAGCCAGGCAGACACATCATTGAAGCGCTGGCTCCTGGAATTTGCAGCAAAGCGTAAACAGGCTGAGGTCCAGAGTGGAATCATCAGGAATGATAGTATCTGGGATGAACTCTTCTTTCATAAAATTCAGGTAAGAAAATGAACAAGTGATGATAGAGTGGCACCCAAGTGTCCAATGGGTGACCTTACAGAAGAATTAGAGAAGTTCATCCCAATGGTGTGTAATCTTATAAAACAGTAACTTTTTGCTAATGAAATCAAAGCTTAAGCTACCACTGAAATTTTAAAGGACCCATTTTTGTTCATTGGAGATGTGTTATATTTGCCAAAGGCAACCAGCAAGAAGGACTCCTGGAAAGTAAGTTCCTTGACCTCTATAGGCAGTAGGGCAGCTTTGCCCTTGGGTAGTCAGGTTCACCAAGCAGCTCTTGGGGCTCGAAGATTCTCTTGCCCCTCCCTGTAGCCTTGGCCACGGTGGCTTTCCAGTAGCACAAGGTTCTAGCCAGATGACCAAGAATCTTCCTTGCCCTCCGTGTTTCCCATCTCTTCAGCCTCTCCTAAACCAAGCTGTTTATGAATTACTCATTCCTGTCTCCTCACTAAAGTTTTAAAGCTGTGCATTACTCAAAGAACTTGTAGTTAATTTGTACTAGTACTCATTTTTCCTTATTACTCTATTTTTAGCTATGAAAATTAATATTTAAAATCTCTTGGCTCAACTTACAGAAACAAAGTGTTTAAAAAATTCTTTGACCTCTGCAGTGCATAGTAAATAAATAGCTCATGGCATTGATTTAGAAATGAAAAAAGACCATGCCATTAAGGTGGAAGTGGGAAGAAATTGTCCTCAGTAATTGTTTTGGAGGCTTGCAAATGATGGGAGAGTGAGGGAACAGCTGTGTATTTTAAGAAAGGGAGAACCAAAATTATAGAATGCCACACAGATTAATGGCCCTTATCTCAAAATACATAAAAGAGTTGGCCATATTGTGGGTTGGATTGCAAAGCTGATTGGGCTGATTCATTTGGAAGAAGGGGGCTTCCTCAGCTCATGTGTTGTACAGCCTCAGGCTGCCTCTCTGATCCCAACCCTAGGGTCCAGGTAGGGTACAGCTGTTGAACGTTGATGTTAGGTGAGGCCCAGGTGAGCTACACTCCACTTGCCACAGCACAGACTCTGGCAGGTTCTTCTCTCTTCCCACAGGCCAGTCTTGGTGGGTGCGTGCGGATGATTGTTACTGGAGCGGCCCCCGCGTCACCAACGGTCCTGGGATTCCTCCGGGCGGCTCTGGGGTGCCAGGTATTTCCTTTATTTGGCCTTCCCTGGGGGCAGTGGGGTGAGTGTTAGGACAGGGCAGGAAACCCATTATACCCTCTACTGTACAGAGAAATATTCTGGGGGCAGGATCTTTGTGGAATAAAAGCTCCCTTCTCTGAAGATGTAAAAAGCCCAGGGTCACTGAAAGCCAAGATAACCTTGTGACATTGTGGAAAGCCCAGGTGTGTAGCCACTCTGGGAGAAAACTGTATATGGATCATCAGTGTGCTGGAGAACCTGTCCCACACCTGTACCAGCATCTCTGCATTCTCCAGCCTGTAGACTATTTCCCAGCCCAGAGAAGGAGCACGAGGGAGGGGGATAAAAGTTCATTTGTGTGTTTTTATTTGATTCAGTAGGTTTTGTCATTGCTAAAAAAATTCATTCCTTTATTTGTCCATTCAATTAATGTTTGTCAGGTTCCTGCTTATGCAGATTATAGTAACATAGTTGTGACTGGTGGGTTTTAAGTAAAGTAGGCACATCTACTTCATAAATGTACATGCTTAAAATTTTATCCTTTAGAAGCCATGGGCTTCTTGGGAATTCCCTGGCAGTCCAGTGGTTAGGACTCAGTGCTTTCACTGCCGTGGGCTCAATCCCTGGTTGGGGAACTAAGATCCTGCAAGCTGCCAAAAAATAAAATAAAATAAAATAAGCAAGTTCACAGTAAACTGTGTCAATACTTTACTATTATTTCACAATATAGTTTCTCAATGTGTCACCAAAATGAACTCTACCACTGCCACCTACCATGTACAACACATTATGTTGGAGCCTTGTGCCAGCCTCTGTGAGGACAAAAAAAAAAAAAAAAAAAAAGAGGAAGGGAAAAAGAAGCCATGGGCTTCTTACACTGACCTCCTGTTCTACACTAACATGAGCTGACCGCTCCTAAAGGCAGCTCTCCCACATGGTCTATTCATGCGAGCACATGGGACTCTGAAGGGGAATATCTTACAGAGACAAAACCTTTATTGGATTTTAAAATGTTTGTCTTTAATACATATTATTCAAATTAGAAATAGAGTCAGTGGTTGAAAATAGGTTAGAAGTCTTTATCCCAAACCATATAACCTTATCTACTAAGTGTCTGTGGTTAAAAATAGCATTTCTTCCAAGCAGAGTAGCTACACCTGTTGTCTGTGTTCAGTTTCTCCTGAAGGTACCTACTTCCAGAGCACCTCCCCTCCCACCGTCCCCAGCATGGAGCAGCCAGATGCTCCGTGAGAGGTTAGCTGGCTGAAAAGGGCAGCCAGCTATCTGTAGGCGGGTGTGCGCCTTCAGTATGGTTTCTGTGTTTTGCTTGAAGGTTTATGAAGGTTATGGCCAAACTGAGTGCACAGCTGGATGTACCTTCACTACACCCGGGGACTGGACATCAGGTAGGATTGGCTGGAGATGTGGGAATGAGTTAGAACAGCAGGCTCTAAAACTTCCTCATGGAAAGTATATTTACATGGGCACATAGGAAACAGCAGAAGAAACAGAAGAAAAACAATGATGGTAGTTTTGTCTGTGTTGTGGCATATTATGGATCTGTTTTCTTTTTGTTACATATTTTTGTATTTCCTACTATATTTTGTATTTTGCTATTTCTTTTATAAATAAATAGAAGTCATGTTAAAAAAAAAGTAGTAGATCACAAAATACAGCTCCAGGTAGAAAAATGCCTATGATATCAATATGTTAGATTTTATAGTTTCTAAATATCACACAGTCTTGCTTACAGTCATTTCAGAATGAAGGAAGCAGACTGTGAATTGGATATGATTTAGGAAGGAGAGGCAAGTTTATAGCAGCCAGTGTGCTGTTTCTTGAAGAGCCGTTTCAGAGGCTCTTTGGAACTATGGTCTCCTGTGATAGCAACATCTAAAAGGCAGTGGCAAGCTCAGAAAGGAGCAGCTACTATCCACACCCTCATTCTGAAGGGACCTATCTTTCAGGGCAAGGAGGAAGCAGTAGGTAGCCCATGTATTGGCTGTCACTAAATTTAGACCAAATACAATCATCTGAAAAACATTCAGCAAAAGAATTCTTCAGGATACCAACTTCCTCTGTGAGCCTGGAGCCACGCTTCACGCTTAAGTTTGCTCAACTACAAACTAGAAAATTTGGGATGATGTGCACAGAAAAGAAATATGCTTAGTAGTGTAATACTATTTTCAGAGCACCTTGAGGTAGTCAGCAGAAACATGATAGGTGGATTCTAAATTGAAATCACATTTGGCAACGTCAGGTACAGAAGTTTTATCTCCTTAAACTCTAGCTGAATAAAGCCTATCTTGTATGTGAAGTTTTTGATCTCCCTACCACTGGCACCTTTACTACACAGACCACTTTCTGAGGTCCTGGCTCATTAACTTTGTTCTTGTTACTGCGATCATATTTACTGATCATTTACATGTATACCCTTCCTTTGGACACTTTCTTCCCTCTTATGATGTCCTACATTTTCCTATGTGAGGCTTTTGAGGTTTTACCTTTTTTATGCATCCTTACCATAAAAACTTGCAAAGGTTATTGAGTGTGAGAGGATCGGTATCTTTGTACAATATTATAAAAGATTTGGCGGTCCCTCCTTTAAAAGAGAAACGAAAGTGTCACAGCCTGCTTTTTGTTTATGTGGCTCACTTTGTTTCAGGACCTTGGCCAGCATCTGCTTAAAAATCCTCCACCTTGCCAGTGAATTGTGTAACAATCACAATTACTAGAAAATGACTTAGATGTAGTTTTGTGGTTGGAGTATATAAGACCAAGAAAATTTGCAGTCTTATTTGAGGGGGTAGGGTAGCGAGTTGCCTCATCCTTGTTTTCCATTTCAACAGTCTGGTGACTGGAAGAAAAAGCAATAATGACTATATTTTATGATCCCCAAACCAAAACATATGATCTGATGATGGGGAAAGTGTTTTAATATAAAAAATCCTGACTATTTGGTTGGTGTGGGTATGAGACTCCCCAGAGACCCTGTACAGGTTGACTCTGGGCCATGTAAGCCTGGCCGGCTGTTTAAGAATCAGATGTAAAACAAAGGCCCAGCAGAGGTTGGCCTCTCCTTTCTCCAGAACTTTGTTTTATCATCAGTGCTTGCTTGTGACAAACGCCCATCTAGAGGTGTATTGCTTTCCATCCACGATTCCCCACTTTGGGGTTTCACATGGCATGGAGCATCTTCAGTGCTGAAATTGATCTGAACACTGACAAATGCACATTGTTCTGGTGTTCTAGGACACGTAGGAGCACCTCTGCCCTGCAATCATATCAAGCTCGTGGATGTCAAGGAACTGAACTATTGGACCAGCAAAGGAGAAGGAGAGGTAAACTTGAGCGTTTAGCCATTCATGTTTGTGGATGCTCTACATATAGTGAGGAAAAGAAAAAAAAAAATGGAAATGGAATTGTTTTCCTTTCACCCTATGTGTAAAGTCATTTTATATTATTGATTAATTTGACTCAACTGAATTGAGCATTTTCTCTCCTGTTTATGAAGTAACCAACCCTCAAGGCTGGGACTGGGCTGGTCCAAAACAAGATTTGGGATTCTCAGACTGTTTTAAAAATCCATTTTTTTCTTAACTGGCACGGCTTGTTGCTGTGTATCTGTGCAGGCAGAAACATGACCATTTGCAAATAGGCCAGATGGGGTAGATCGAGCTGGCCTGTGCTTGTTCATTCCATGGGAGTAGATAGGAAAGCTGAGTGCCTGGTCATGAAGCAGGGGGCTCAAGCACCTCTGGTAGAATCAGCCAGCTTTCAGTATCTGATGAGACCCCATCCAGTGTCACAAAGCAGCGCATACCGAAAGCCGCAGTGTTCCTGAGGAAGAAGGGACGGCAGAGAGGTAGTTGGAGAGGACACTGCTTGAGAGAAGGCAGGAGACAGTTGAGAACGCTGGCGGCTATTCCTGTCCTCTGTTTCCGTCACTGTAGTTTCCACAGTGGACTTCCTGAGGGATAGTGTACATTTTTCTACACATGCCTCGTGACAGCCTCATATCAGGATTCCTTATGCTGTGGGCTGAGAGAAACCGGGTGTTTGTCCCTACAGATATGTGTGAGAGGACCAAATGTGTTCAAAGGTTACTTGAAAGATCCGGAGAGGACAAAGGAGGCCCTGGACAATGACGGCTGGCTTCACACTGGAGACATTGGGAAGTGGCTGCCAGTATGTATGTTTGGAACCATGGGCCTCCACACATGTTGGTGGTGGGGGTGTGTATAATCTGATTCACTCTGAGGCAGGAGTCTTTATATCCACCCTGACAAGTAATCACTCCAGAATACCTCTGGGAAATGGGAGGTTCTTCCTTACCTCGCCCCCAGAGCCTCCTCCTGCATCCTCCTGATGAAGGTGACAGGGATCTTCTGGGAGTGTAGAACTGGAGTTTGAAGCCTACCCCCTCCCCTTAAGAGGTTTCCAGGAAGAGATCTGACAGTGTTTTGGAATCCGATGGGTGAAGTACAAGGAGCATGGGGCTCGTAACCCTGGGAGATCTGATGAAGGCAGGGCCTGGGAGCCCATGGACACTGGCCGCCAGCTGACAGGTGGCACTGAGCAGTGTGAAGAGCTTGGAGCTGGGCAGGAGGATGCTGGCGTTCCTTTGTCTCTGCTAGCAGCTGCTCTCGTGACCTTGAGCAAAGCTTCATCCCTCTCTGGGGCTCTGTATTGACTCAGTTATAGAATAAGAAAGTAAGGCTACATGGCATTCTTTAGCGGTGGCCCCCAACTTTTAGCCAAAACCAGTAATGGTGCCTCATTCTGTCATTTGTAAAATGGAGGTGATAACATTGCTTACCTCTATGGTTGTTATTGTAAGGAACAAATGAGATTATACCTGTAAAGCCCTTAGTACAATACCTGGCACACAGGAGATGCTTAGATGGAAACTGTGACCAGAAAAAAACTATGTAACTGAAACCGAGAGCCTCCACCTGCAGCAGCCCACCCCAGGAAACCTTTCCTGTGTCTCTGGGAGATTGCTAAGATTTTGGGTGGAGTTCTGAGATGTTGAATTTATTGGACAGGTGAATGATGTTGAGCCCTCCAGGGGCCCTCTGGGCTGGTGAGCTGATTTGCCCCTGCTTGGAACTGCGCATTTCACTTTGAGACACCCTCACTCTTGCAGCAGACATGGATGTATCCCTGGGCCAGGGACTATGCTCAGGGGAGAGACACATCTTTAGACAGTTCCCAACCCGGTGTGATGGGCATGAGATGAGGGTCATGCTCACCTAGGGGAGAAGGACAAGCGCCTACTGGCTCTGAGTCTCAGGATTTAAGTCCTGTTCCAAGAGGAGAGGGGAGAGTGGGAAGGACAGTCAGGGCAGGAGTAATAGCATGTGCTACGTAGAGAGACACTAGAGGTGTGAGGCAAGGAATTCTAACTGAGGGCCCGCAGGTGTGGAGGAGGGAGGCTGGAGAAGCAGCAGGGCCCTGGACACTGGCAGAGGGTAGATTGTCCCATCAGCTAACGAAGCCTAGGCTTCAGCCTTCACTTGCATAGGCCCCTTTCAAGGCTCTGCACTTCATTTTATATTATTTTTCTTAAAGGTGGGGGTCTCAAAACTGGAAAAAACTTGAAGTCCCACAAAACTCTGGATCTGCCACTGATGCCCTGTAACTTGGATGAAACCACCCACCTTGCAGGGTGTTGTGAGAAGCAAGTAAATTGATTCATGTGAAGCACCTAGTGCTGTGCCTGAACTCAGAGCCCAAGGCAGTAGGCAGGCAGTCTATGGGAGTCAGTTTTTTAAATTATTACTCTTTTGAAATAGTATTAGATAGATCAAGGAAAAGGTCTAAGTATCTGATCCAGAAAGACCTGATTTAAGTCCTGGTTCTCCCACCTCCTAGCTGTGTGGCCTTGGAGGCGTTAACTGACCTCTCTAATCCTCACCTTCACCATTTATGAAATGGAGGTGATGACACCCAGCTCATGGGGTGCCATGAGGACCAAAGAAGC